AACACTTTGCACAAGTTATAAAAGCTTTTTAAATAAAGCACAAAAAATGCAAAATTTGGAAATAAAAAGCAGGATTTAAGCGCAAAAATATATAAAAATCTTGGAGCACAAGTAAAACACGTCAATCACTCTCAACTGAGAACTCTCTCTGAATGAGAGAGAATGATTAAAACAAATATAAGCTGAATTAAATATTTATCCCTACCCTTGGCGCCCCAGTTTGTGGCCATATCTGCTCCAACATCAGGACTTTTTTGATTAGCAGCGTCTGTACAAAAAAATATATGATATTTTTATACGATTTTTAGCTATTTGTGCAAGCAATTCAATTATTTTCATAAACGTTGGCAGCTCGGCTAATTTTCATAATGTTTTAATTCTATGGACCCGTAATTTTATAAGAACAAAAGTAGATGCAATTTTTAATATAAAGTTTTTATTTTAATATTATTTTTGATATGGTGTCACTTTGCTTTACCAAAATGCAAATCTGTAAGCACCGTAATTTGAATCTAAGAAAATGTATTAGAAAAAATTGTTTAAATATAAATTTATATTTTATTTTGGGAAAATTACCGCTAAGAAGTGTGAAACCACCGTAGAGCATCGAAAATATAATAAATTATATATAATAAATTTACACAAGCATGGCAGATCGTATTAAGAATTTGGCTAGCTATTGGACAGAAGTCAATTCGTAATAGACGAGTGGCACAAAATTGAACCAAATCTTTACTGAAAACTGGTGCATTTAATGACAAATCGCCTAGAAAGCGTTATAAAACAAAATGGCATGCTCACTAAACATTAATTTTTATTTATTGTTTTATTTTTTCACACTTTAACACAATTATTTTAGCAATTGCCAATACTTTTGTCCCTATGAAAATATGCAAATCTAAAGTTTTTATTTGTAAGGGTTGAAGCAACCAAAAATGTTCCTTTTTTAATGCGTTCAAATAGGTTGAATATATAAACGAACATATAAAAAACGTATTCAATAAAATAATAAGTTGGTTATTCTCTAATTTTTAATTTTTAGTTCACAACACCACAATTGCCAATACTTTTGTCTGTGACTGTAGGTACTTATGTATGTGCGTATGAGAATTTAACTTTTCGTTTCAATTTGCCTTTGTACACACAGTGTACCAAAAATGTCTTCGTATAGCGACTAAAATATTCTTTGGTAACGAAAATAACTTACTTAGTTTACCTACTTAGTTTAAATGCAGTTTTCTCTTTCTATTAAAGGAAAAAACCAAAAAAAAAACAAGTTTTTGGCTCCAATAGAGTCTTCGTACACCATACTATTCTAGCACTTAAGCTGCATACGAAATGCAAAAAAGGTAACGTTAGTTTTTGAATGTGTACATAGGCATCATTGGCACATCTTGGAAGCAACTTTCCGAGAATTTTTATAAATTTGTTTAATTCGTGGTTAGATAGTGCTTCAAAATGCCTGGAAAATATTTAAGTATTATTAATCGGAATTTCATATGCATGCCTCAACACACACATACAAAAGTACATAAGTTTACATAATATATGTATGTATGTAGAAGAGCACATATGTACATATACATACATAAAAACCGATCATCACACGATTTCCCTAAAAATTATATTATGCACTTGTACATGCATTAAACACTTGACTTACCATTTAGGCTTTTGCATTTCTTTTCCAGGCGAGATGCACTTAAAGCTTTATCTATTATCATAGAATAATAAATATACAGACTAGGCTTTTGGATCAAAAGCTCTTTTGCAAAAAATGTAAAGCAAGATTGCGAGGTTCAAATTCAATGTCAACTTCAGAACATTTTTAACAACAACAACAAAAAGAATCAAAACAAACGACTCGACAATAAAAATAGCACACCACAAATTCTGTCGCTGCTATCCCTTTTTGGTTCGAGGCTACAGCCTATGATCTAAGCTTCTACACTCTTCTAACTCATTGTTGTGGTTTCTAAACACTGCTATGCCTGTAATTCGAAAAGTCCCAAAGTCATGTCTTCTTATTCTCCACTCGCTTTCAACTTGCAAGCAGCCAGGCAGATTTTTATAATTTTCATTTTTCGACCAGCATAGCACCCTTTCTCTAAATAGGGTATTTTGACTATTGATCAGTGCTGTAGCTAAATACCACAAACCTTCTCATATACAATTTTTGATCCAATGTCTGATTAAAATATAATTTCGTATTAACTGTGCAACTATTGGTGCAATCAATAATAATTATTTTCTTAGGACATTATACACTATTACTTTAAATAAGGGTATCAATGCCTCGACGCGCCTAATTGGTGTTGGCGTATGTGTGTCAGCACACATATTTTGGTGCAAGTGTACACGTATGTGTATCCGCCAAGCCATGGGAAGTATATGAATTTAAGAAGATTGCAACATTCTGGTGCGCATGTGACGTCACAGGCTTGGGCTTTTTGTGTGCGATCGTTGCCTACAGTAAATTCATATATTTTTAAATAAATTGATTATTATTAAAGACACTATAAATAAATTATTTAAATGTACGTCATAAAGGTAGAAATATATACTAAACATCACAAGAAATAAAATTCTATGAAATGTGACGACATAATTTTGTTGTTGACACGTAACCCTTTGGTTTGCATGCCATGGCCTGCTGGCAATCAAATTTTCTACCTACTTGCGCCAAGACTCGGCTCTGCAGCAACAACATTAAAACCCAAATCGTGTTGCTGTTTCTACGCGCGGCGTTTTTGGAAAGACAGAGAACCCAGCAACAAAAACTGTGGCATTATTTGTCCCATTTTTGTCCTCATAATCTTGCTTCAGAATTTCAGCGATCAAAACGGAAGATGAAAAAAAAATGGGTTTTCGTGGGCACTGTTGTTGTTTTGCAGCTATGGTAAATGAGCTTTATTTCTTGAGTTTGATTTTGCGTTTGCGGACCAACCTTATCCACCTTGCTTCAAAATTAAAACGGTAATAAAAGCTCGGAGTCAGTTTTCAGCTCTGTATCTGTTTATTACTGCATGATCTATTATAAAGGCCTCGTATTTCGCGCCTTTAAACTTCGCGAAACATTTGTCCCTTTTTATTAAAACTGCTTTCCGGGAGTATATAATACTCCCCACATTTTACCAAAAAAAAACCTTTTTTACCACTTCCAGTTCGTCGCTCAAAAACTTCGAAATTAACGTAACCGCACAGCACAGGCGACTACGATTAACTGAAAAAATTATATTTTCGTAGAAATCAATCGATAATTCCCAAAATAATCGTAAAAACTTATTTGCTCTTTTTATTCACTTCATACAATAACATTTATCATTGTCAATTCGTACAAATCAATCGATATTTCCCAAAATAATCGTATTTAAACCAACAAAAAACAAATTCAACGGAGTAAAAGATTCGGCGTTGCCGCCATATTTCAGACTCTCATATTCAAATTCTGTCATACAGTCGACGGAATAAACATTTTGACAAAGAAATTACCATATTGTTTATAACTTTTTAAGTGAGCTTTGAAAAAGGTTAAAATAAGTATGGTATAAATGTATGTTCATTTATTTTTAAAATATATTAAAAACTATTATATAAGTGTATTAAAAACAATAACAAAAATCATTTTTATGAAATGTAAGGTGGCATACGTATTTTGACATATTATAAAAGATTGAAAAATGAAACAAAAGCAAATGATTTAAGATAACTTAACTTATTATTAATAAAAAATATAGCCTCCCTTGGCATTTATAACTTTTTGCAGCCGCCCGGGAACAGAATCAACCAATTTTTGGATAAAGATCAATGGAATATCCTTCCGGAGTGTTTCTACTTCGGATATTGTTTTTTTACGCGTTCTCGTTAGATTTGCACATAGTTTTTGTTTTATACAAGCCCATACATTTTCAATAATATTCAAGTCGGGGCTTTGTGGTGGCCAATCCAGCGTGTTAACCCCAACTTCATATAATAAGTCTGTTATTCATTTTGCCTAACGGCACGGCGCTTTATCCTGCTGGTATATAAAGTCTTCTTCGATCAAATTGTCCCCAGAGGGGAAAGCGTAATTATTCAAAATACGTAAATATTTATTTGTATCCATTGTTCCATCGAAAGAAACCAAGTTTTCTATCCCATTATAAGCCTCACATCCCCAAAACAATGCCGATCCACCCCCATGGCTTACTCTTTCACAAACGGATATTCTTTTCTTGAGTGTTGCTCTTGGCCTTCTTACAAAAACTTTTTTTTTGGAGCAGTGGTAATTAAATGTACTTTCGTCACTCCACAAAATATTATGCCAAAAGGATGGGGACTTGTCAATATATTTTTTGGCAAATTCAAGACGTTTCACTGATATTAAAGTTTGTTTAGTTAGAAAGCTCCATGGCAACAGTTTCTAAAGGATTATTTTTAAATTGCCGTCAAATAAAACGATCATTCTGTTCTGTTGTCTTACGCGGTCTGCCACAACGTGTCATGTTTTTTGTGGTGTGGTGTTTTTAATATTTATTAATTTGATAATTAACTGTTTGGCGGGGTTTATTGTATAATTTACTGATATTTTCTACGGAAATACCAGAGGTATACCTCGCCACCATATAATTTTTATTAAATTCAGTTAATTCAGTTGTTTTACCCAAAGCTAAGCAAATCTGTTAAGCAAAATTGTTCTTATCAGCACTTCAACTCAGTATTCAATATTTATAGACTCGTAGCTTAGCTTCAAGCTCAATAGCAGTTCAACACAGACTAAATAGAGCAAATGTCAAAATACTTTTGTCCACCTGTTATCAGCTTGCGAAAGAGAAGAATGCGTAAATCAAGAAAACGCAAAAAGGAATTAAAAAATTCTTTGCATTCTCCTTTTTACTTATATCTACGGTTTCATTGCAGTAGATAAAGTTTGACAAAATTCTTGATTCAAAAATGCTTTTTATTACAAATATTTCAATCTTTCAATGATTTTGTTTAACATAACAATTAATTGAAACAATTGATTCAAATGGTGAATTAATTGATTATGATGAGGTTGTCTGTTTTTCGCCAGGAACGTTTATTTTAATGAGTTTTTTTCCACTAACTTCTTCGAAAGCCGAGTTTTTTTGATTTACATTTTCTGTTAAAAGATACAAGGTACATTTATGTACATACATATGAAAAAATCATATACATATAAAGTTAATAAAATATTGGTCCTTACTTTTCGCTTTATCTGCCGCTGCATTGGGACTTTTTTTATCAGAAAATTCTGTAAAAAATATTTAATATAAAATAAAACTTGTATTATATACTTGAACGCTTATTTGATGTTAATTTATGTTGATTTAATTAAAATATTCTATTTACCCTGGATGCTGCAGTGGCTTGTCATATCAACTTCGCCATCAGGGCTATTTTGATCAGCGTCTATTTTGAAAGAACATATGTAAATATAAATAATTAAATAAAATTGCAAGGGGTATTGACACACATACATTTATGCATGATAAATATTTTACTGAATTTAAAATACGTACTTATGTATGAATGTGCACATTATTATTTTATAAATACATTTTTTTTTCCGAGAATTTCACTTTTCGTTTTAATTTCTATCTATTCAGCGGAAATTCATAGCACATATTTAGGCTCACATAGTGTGTGTAGAAGTACACATACATACTAAGTGTGTGTGCATACAGAAAAGCATGAGAATCGACGCCGATCTACTTGCACACATACACACGTTGCATCCATACAAACATATGTATGTATGTATGTATTTTTGCAAGAGACACGGCGTCGTCTCAACGGCGGCGTCTTGCTCTAGAAAATAGCGCGATTAATTTCGTCTCTTTTCTACATACATACATACAATATCGACTCGGCTGTTGATACTGATCATGAATATATATAGTTTATGTTGTCGGAGGTTTCTCCTTCTATGCGTTACACATTTCACGACAAAATTATAATAGCCTCTGCAAGGGTAGAAAAAGGTTGGCTCTGCAAGGGTAGTAAATTTTCAGCGTGACGAAGATAGCCCTATTTTCTCGTTTGTTTATCAAAATATCTTGACCAAAGTCGGCAAAATTAAATTGTTGTAAGGACAAATCTTTTGTAATTCAAAATATATTGACCAAACCCGGTATTTATCAGATTATTATTTACAACGGAACACTTTTTCATATAGCTGCCATACGAACGATCTGACGAAGATGACCTTCTTGTATGTAAAGCTTTTTGGTTTATCAAGATATTTCAACCAAACTAGGCTTTTATAAGTTTCATTATGCTCCTTATATATATGCTAAGTCCTATCGACATTGGACCACTATATCATATAGCTAGCATAGGTACGATCTGTCGAAAATTAGGGTTTTGAATGTCAACTTATTCTGTTTTTCAAGATATTTTTATCAAACTCAGCATTTACGAGCTTTACTATTCTCCCATATTTGGAAAACCGTATGGCAAATTAAATCATCGGCGTACCGAAGATAACTTTCCTTTCTCGTGTTAGGATCACGTGATCAAACCTAGCGTTATTAGTTTTGCAATGCTCTTTGTATATGAGCAAAATCTAATCTAGAGCGTTCTACAACATCAAACTGTATAGCTTTATGGGAGAGATCGTTCGAAAAATAAGTTTTAGTATGACAACATTGTTTTATGATATTTATAGACAAGACAATTTTCACGTAACACAGCAATGCGTGTTTTACTATTTTCTTCTCAATGTACCCAAATTATATGCCCAACGAAGATTGGATGTTAGGGTATAGCTTCACTTATGTGCGTGTATATATGTAATTTTGCAGCTGCACCAGCACTGGAGGCTGGCCTCTGTCTTTCGTATGCATAATGTTCATTGAAGCTGGGTGGCAAACTGAACGGTACAGTGTCTGTGAATGTGTTTGAAATTAAGTATGAAATTAGTATGTGTAATAAATTAAGAATCGACGCGAAATCTCATCAATATCTTACCATTTTATCATAGAATTAGCTGTCATAGGAAAATTCAGTTGCAAAGTAAAATCTTCAATGTAAGACTATTTTGTTTATCAAGATATTTTAAACAAACTCACAATACTCCTTACAAATGAGCCACATCTCAACCAGATTAGAACACTATATAATATTGTTGCTATACAAACGGTCGGTCGAAAATTATGTTCTTGTACGAATAACTTTTTATACCGTTGCAGAGGGTATTATAATTTTGTCGTAAAATATGTAACGTATAAAAGGAGACACCTCCGACCCCATAAAGTATATATATTTTTGATCAGTATCAACAGCCGAGTCGATATAGCCATGTCCGTCTGTCCGTATGTTTGTTTCTATGCGAACTTGTCTCTCAGTTTTAAAGCTATATTTATGAAACTTTGCAGAAGTGCCTATTTCTGTTGCACACAGTATATATGTCGGAGCCAGGTGGATCGGACCACTATATTATATAGCTGCCATAGGAACGATCGGTCGTAAGGTAGGTTCTTGTATGAAAAACTTCTTGTTTATTTAGATATCTTGACCAATCTCGGCATTTATTATTTTTACTATGCTCCTCATATATATGCAAAGTCCTATCAACGTCGGACCACTATTTCATATAGCTGCCAAAGGAACGATCGGTCAAAAATTAAGTTGTATGGAAAAATTTTTTGTTTTTCAAGATATCTTGACCGAACTCGGCATTAATTAGTTTTACTATGCTCCCTCCATTTATGCAAAAACTTATTTACATCGAACTACTATATCATATAGCTGCCATAGAAACGATCTGTCGAAAATTAAATTGTTTCATAGACATATTTTTTTGTTTTTCAAGATAAAAAAATTTTCCATGCAACTACTTAATTTTCGACCAATCGTTCCTATGGCAGCTATATGATATAGTGGTCCCATCTTAATAGGACTTTGCACATATATGGGGAGCATAGTAAAACAAATAAATGCTGAGTTTGGTCAAAATATCGTGAAAAACAAACAAATTTTCCATACAACAACTTAATTTTCGACCAATCGTTCCTATGGCAGCTATATGATATAGTGGTCCTATGTTGATTACATTTTGCATATATATGAGAAGCTTACAAAAACTAATAAATGTCGAGTTTGGTCAAGACATCTTGAAAAACAAACAAATTTTCCATACCACAACTTAATTTTCGACCGATCGTTCCCATGGCAGCTATATGATATAGTGGTCCGATGTTGATAGGATTTTGTATATACATGGGGAGCATAAAAAAACTAATAAATGCCGAGTTTGGTTATGATATCGTGAAAAACAAACAAATTTTCCATACAACAACTTAATTTTCGACCGATCGTTCCTATGGCAGCTATATGATATAGTGGTCCGATCTTAATAGGTTTTTGCATATATATGAGGAGCATAAAAAAACTAATAAGTGCCGAGTTTGATCAAGATATCTTTATAAACAAAAATGTTTTTCATATATGAACCTACTTTTCGACAGATTAAGGTTTTGAATGTCAACTTATTCTGGTTTTCAAGATATTTTTATCAAACTCAGCATTTAGGAGCTTTAATATTCTCCCATATTTGGAAAACCGTGTGGCAAATTAAATCATCGGCGTACCGAAGATAACTTTACTTTCTCGTTTTAGGATCACGTGATCAAACCTAGCGTTATTAGTTTTGCAATCCTCTTTGTATATGAGCAAAATCTTATCTAGAGCGTTCTACAACATCATATTGTATAGCTTTATAGGAGAGATCGTTCGAAAAATAAGTTTTAGTATGACAACATTGTTTTATGATATTTATAGACAAGACAATTTTCACGGAACACAGCAATGCGTGTTTTACTATTTTCTTCTTAATGTACCCAAATTATATGCCCAACGAAGATTGAATGTTAGGGTATAGCTTCACTTATGTGTGTGTATATATGTAATTTTGCAGCTGCACCAGCACTGGAGGCTGGCCTCTGTCTTTCGTATGTATAATGTTCATTGAAGCTGGGTGGCAAACTGTACGGTACAGTGTCTGTGAATGTGTTTGAACGTTTGCTGAACAGTGGTATGTGTAATAAATTAAGAATCGACGCGAAATCTCATCAATATCGTACCACTTTATCATAGAATTAGCTGTCATAGGAAAATTCAGTTGCAAACTAAAATCTTCAGTGTAAGACTATTTTGACTATTTTTTATTTTACTCACAATACTCCTTACAAATGAGCCACATCTCAACCAGATTAGAACACTATATAATATTGTTGCTATACAAACGGTCGGTCGAAAATTATGTTCTTGTACGCATAACTTTTTATACCGTTGCAGAGGGTATAATTTTGTCGTAAAATATGTAACGTATAAAGGGAGACACCTCCGACCCCATAAAGTATATACATATATTATTGATCAGATTCAACAGCCGAGTCGTTATAGCCATGTCCGTCTGTCCGTATGTTTGTTTCTATGCGAACTTTTCTCTCAGTTTTAAAGCTATCTTTATGAAACTTTGCAGAAGTGCATGTTTCTGTTGCACGCAGTATATATGTCGGAGCCAGGTGGATCGGACCACTATATCATATAGCTGCCATAGGAACGATCGGTCGTAAGGTAGGTTCTTGTATGAAAAACTTCTTGTTTATTTAGATATCTTGACCAATCTCGGCATTTATTAGTTTTACTATGCTCCTCATATATATGCACTAGCGGGTATAACCCGGCCTTGCCCGTGGCACGTACATATGTTATAAAATCAAAAAAGCATTGAAAATGATTTTGAAACTGATCGGACGGGAATCAAAAAACTTTTATGCAAATCGGAAAACTCTTAAAATTCACCAAAAAAATCTTAAAAATGCATTTTCCACCGAAGGAGTTTAGATTTTGCGAGAAATGTGGAACACGTCTCTAATGATTTTTCTTATAGATCTTTGGAAATAAATTTGAACACAAAACGTCATCCACCAAATCTTCGACCCCCATTTGCACCAAGAAGGGATGGATTTTTCAAAAAGTGTGAAACACCCCTCAAATGAATTTGAATATAGATCTTTGAAAATGATTTTGGGGCCGATCGGATGGTAAACAAAAAACTTTCATACAACCGTTTTCCGCCAATTTACCACTGGTGCGGGTGGAATTTTCAAAATCGTCGAAATACGTATTCATTAAGTTCTTATTGAGAGCTTTGAAAATAAGTTTGAAGTAAATCGGACACAACTTAAAACTTCGCACAAAAAATCTTTAAATCGCATTCCCCACGAATAAGTTTGAATTCTGCGAAAAGTGTGAAACACGTCTCAAATGATTTTTCTAATAGATCTCTGGAAATGAATTTGAGTGCGAAACGTCACCCACCAAATCTTTGACCTCCATTTCCACCAAGGAGGAATGGATTTTTCAAAAAGTGTGAAACACCCCTTA